AATATTTAATGGTCAATCATTGACTTTGTTTCTACTGGTTTTGTATCAATCTTTGAAATGTATTAGTTTGTGAGGCATGTTTTGAATTTAAAATGCTTTCTATGTAAGAAGTCATACATTTAAATTGATGTATACCCTGAAGAAATCCAGTTTTGAAACAGCGACCCTCAAAAAGATGCATTATCAATATTTTGTAAATAATTAATTTCCTACTGTATTGCTTTATACTGTCTTTTGCATATTACCATGACCAAAGTTAATATCATATAACATTTTCACTTTCATTGCTCTTTGGGGGAAAAAAAATCGAATTTGAAAAAAACTAACAAAAGAAGTGACACTGCACCACTATGTAATAAGGCTTCAGTGATTAGGTTTATTAGTAGGTAAACTCACAGCCTAAATGAAAGCATTAGTTTGACATGTCGGTGAATTAAATCTTTAACTTTTTCTCCTGACGGTTAAAGACGATTGGTTTTACTGTACCTCAGCATGCAGACCATGTTAAATGTAAAGCTGGAACCAGAGGATGGTTTGTTGGAAATTAAGACTGGAAGCAGTGAAGAAAGGTGAAACTAATCTGCCAATCAGGACCTCAACATATCACCAATTACCTCCACCGAGGAGCTTATGATTTTGTCATGTTGGTCTTCCACTCTGTTATTTAACATCATTACACACACATTACTCAACACATTACCATGAAACATGGTGGAAGGATGTGGTATGGGTGAGGATAGGATCCGTTATATTGAGCTACAAATAGCGCTGCACACTACAACCATACAAAGCAACAAGGGAGCAACACACCAACTTCGAAATGTCTCACGTCATTATGAGAAGTGGCATGAAACACTGTTAATCTTTAACATGTAGCACTGTTTTTCAAAAGATAAACTATTTACTTAATATTCTATAGACTGGCTATAAGGAATTGTTCTGGGTTGCCAGGTTGTGAAAAAATCCCTCCATCTGTCTTTTTAATAATTTAAATTGTTCAGTTGATTTTCTCTTGATTAAAGCTTCTGAGGGTTTCACTTTAACATTAGAATAAGTCTGTCAATGTTTATAAGTTAATACATTAATGATGGTCTATGCACCACTTTAGGGGTCTTAAAAAGGAGTACAAGAAAAGTGTAGTGACGGATAAACATAAACCAAATCCTCTCATTCATTTGACAAATTAACAAACCCAAAGATATTTTATTGATTCCTAGCTGTTCTACATTATAAATCATTGTAATTTTTTTTCACTCAGCTATTATATACAATGATGCGATTACGATTACCCACAAAACTGAATAATAGTCAGAGGCTTTAACTGCCAGGATCAGGCTGAGCAAATGCAGTGCTGAACTGTAGATCATTTAAAAAGACATAGAATTCATTAAAAATCATCTCATCTCTGATATCCAGTTGGGAAATGTCTCAAATATCAGATTTTTAAACTGTGATTGGTGTATTTGTTACAGCAGCAGCTCTTCTGGTTCCGGAGGCTAGGTATCATGAGGAATAGGTGTTGTTCAGTTCTGTTGCAGTTGATACTGAATGGACGGGTCAAGCCCTCAGACTCAGAGCTAAATTTGCCACTGTTATTACTCATATTATTCAAGTTACTAGAAACTAGAAAGCAAACTCAGGGCCTCTACTCTCCTGTTGGTCAGAGGTTCAGGGAGAGTAAGTGCATTTTGTCTTGGCTTGTTGCTCCATCCATTTGCTTTCATACCACGCGACACCTTCCACCCACTAAATACCAAAACTACCACAATATAATGGAAACCCCAAGTGGGAGAGTAAATTATGTCAGTTTGACATCCTACCCTCTGCCACACTGGCGGGACAGCCTCTACATCATAACTGCGCTGTGGGGCTTTCCCATCTATCAGATGCGCACCGAAGGAGCGTCTGGCTCGCTCTCGACTTTAATGACACTCAGAGCACATTAGGCGCCGTGGTTACATGGGAGGAGAATCATTCAAGCAGTGTGGAGCTGTTGAAGCGCTGAACCGTAGAGCTCGGGGAGGTCGCAGTTCACCTTGTATGTTAATTAAAATGGCTCAAATTGCTATGTGAGTACTCCCCTGGGTGATTGTGATTTTATATTTTATGTGACGAACAGACTAATTCTGCCCATTGCTGCAACTGGTTGTAAAACAAATGCTTCGATAAAGTGTATGTCTTGGTGAGCTGCCAAAATCAGTTTGAAAATTGACTGTGGAAGCACAGTTCAGTTGCCAGGATTATGTATCAATGGCAGCTGCTGGTGAGGGGTGGAGCGTTCGTCCTCCAATCACAAGGTCAGCAGTCCGATCCCAGTCTTCCCCATCTGCATGCAAAAGTGTCCTTTGGCAAGATACTAAACCCTGAATTGGCCCTCATAGAAAAAAAGTGCTCCTTATATATGCACTGTATGAATGCGTGTGTGAATGGGTGAATGGCAAGCTGTAGTGTAAAGCACTTCGAGTGGTCATCAAGACTAGAATAGCTCTATAAATACAGAACCAAAACCATTTACCATATTGTGACCATCAATGGTTTAATATGCCTATCAACATGATTTCCCCAAAAGAAGCTTTGTTACCAGTTTATCAAGTTGTGGCTTAAAGTGTTACTTCAGATCTCAGTTTTTGCTGAAGTGTCGGTGGTTGAGGGGTTTAGTTTCAGCATAGATTTGAAAGACGAGCGTGGCTCTCCAGAGCCTCTCATGAGCGGTCACTGATGGCGGGGAACTGCCCACCTTTGGTTCGTGTAACCTTTTCAAATATATGTGCAGGTCATGACACAGAGATGTACTAAATGCCCTGAGTTATCCATCCAGGCTCAAGATCAACATCACCATCATGACACTAAACAGTAACTCTGTCTAAACATTGGCCTTGCAAGGTCCAAGCCAGTATGAAACTCGTTATGTTGGCGTTATGAGCCAGGTTCAACACATAAAGTAGATTTTCCATAAACGTGGTAATGGATGTGATATTAAAACCTACATTAATGTACTTCATTAAAGAACAGTCATATAATTCAGTTTACAGCTCGAAGAACACCTTTAATTGGGCAGCATCTCTTGAATGAACTTCTACAGTTCCACATTCTACTTGTCTTCCGTCCTTATTACCTGACCTGATCTTATTGAAGACTTCACCCCACGGTGAGTCCAGGGATGGCCAGAGAGGAGTGATTAATGATAGCAGATATATTCTAAAGATAGCAAACATGTCCTCCTCTTTTTTTTTCACATTGGTTTTAATGGCACAGCTTGATTTGTAAATGAGGGGAGTGGAAGAGGAAGAAGAATCGGTTATGTTCAGCGAGTTAATGAAAGATTTATCAGCACCTGAAAATAAGTAGCAGACGCATACATATGAGCTAATTTACCAGGGAGCCAGTGCTTTGATTGATTATGGTCAATTAATGACAGAAGTCCATCTATGTGAAGTGATTTGTCTTCTGTGACTCAGGCACAAGTTTTACAACTGACAGGGCTGGTGATACCGAGTCAGAGCACTTAGTTACTTTATTCCTATTGTTTTTTATTTCTATACGGCTTCTTTCATAGCCTCCGTCTCTGTATACGTCTCATTTATTTATAGGTTGATTCTACTCTGAGTAGGTTTGACTCAGCATACTTGCTCCTTTTAGCAATGCACTGCTGCTCAAGGCGTGAAACTAACCTGAATCCTACTGCCACAGTGGCCACTGTGTTTTTTTCCCCCTCTTCTTCTTTGAAACCGGATGAAATTAAACGAAAGAAAAAAAGACTGAGAGATGGCAACCTGCCAAAAACGACTGATAAAAGTGTAACTGTTAACAGCCAAAAAAAATTCCTGGCTTCTGGCAGGTGGCTGGTGTTAATGTGCATCCTTGGCTCTGCCGCTCGTTCCCACAGCTCCACATATTCCCACCTCACAGCCCCCTCCTAATTATGCTTCCTCGCAGTATGGAGCCCTGGCTTATTATTGCTGCATGTCTGTATGTCACCGTGAAAGAGAATCAGCAGAGAACGCTCCTTTTGCCGTGTTAAGCAGAATGCAAGATAAACCCTGGTGCGAGGTGGATTATTGCTGAGGCTACAGAATATTGTCTTTCTTTGTGATCTTTCCCCTCGTGCCGATTTTACACAGTACTGAAGGGAGCGTTTGTAGCCCTTGTAGCTGTATTATCAATCAGGACAGATGAAGATTATTTTTCTTTGCCAGTCACTAGCATCATACAGGTTTTTCCTTTTCTCATAACCCCTCATTTTGTGTGCACTGTCATTAGTGTCTGCCGTGTCACTGTCCTGGTCTCTTTATTTCTGCTCTGTGCAGCAGAGACAGGGCCAGTGGCTCATAGACAGGCGGACCGGCTATTATCTGTAATTGCCAGAGGATCAGTCATCCCAAGTGCATCAGGTCTGTTGCTGTTTCAATACAAAAGGCAGCCCCGGGGCAATAGGCTGGAAGTCCTGACCCAAATCTGTCCTTATGTAAGACCCTTCACGATGGAGATGTTGCTCAAGGAGCAAATAATGAGATTATTCAAATATCATAATGCAGTCTCTCATATTGGCACTGGTGTAGAGCTGAGCTGAGGCTTGATTAAAGGCAGAGGGAGAAGAGGGAGATGAGAGAGTGGAGATAAGGCTCGACAAGATTTCCTAATTGATCTGCAAGCAAGAGAGTTTAATTGATCTCAGATGCTGTGTTAGGCTGCAGGCATCTCTGGATATTGAACTGGGTCAGTACAAATGTGTGAAGTAAGCCAATGAGAGGCAATTGTGATTAAACGGATTGACGGATGCATGCACAGTATGGATGACGGAGCCTTCTCCACGAAGATACAGGTGCGCACCTGTCTGCAAAAAAAAAAAGACCGTGCGTGCAGTGTGCACGAGCCTCGAAGGGAATCGATGCACAAGGATGTGAGCACAAATATCACACTTGCGCCTCCAATATGCACGCACACATCCCCGATGATGAGACAACATAAATCTCAGGATAGACCACAGCTAAGGTACTTACGTGCCATATTGCAAAGAAGATCAGGGACACGCAGAGGACCAGAGACAGCATGTAGCAGAAGGCAGCAAAAGTGAACATAATTGAAATGGGAAACGATGGAGGATTCCCCAAAGGAGCTCGATCCCACTGACAAACATCTAAAAAGAAAAGATGGAGAGAAGCGGGGCCGGGAAGAAAGTTCTCACGGTGCCATGAGGAGCCAAGGCGGTGCCGGCACCATGACTTCGCCCTTCGCAATGTTTGCAACAAATTGTTGCAGGAAACCTCCCCAGATGATGAAGGTGGTGGTGATGAGCCGCGCGTCGTCCTCCAGACAGCAGCTGCAGCGGCGATGTGAGTGAAGTCCAAGCTGCTCTCAGATCAGTGCACTCCGCGTGATCCAGCGTCCACAGCGTCGGAGAGATGATCATGTGAAGCAGTTTCCTCAAGGAACCGAGGGGACGATGCTGATGCGCAAAAGCACCCGAGAGAGGAGGATTCCTGGGTGCTCCATTCACAGTCCTGTGTGTGTGACGCTGCTGAGAGACAGAGAGAGAGCTGCTCCTCACTTCGTGCACAAGGCGTTAATATAAACGCAGCTCTCCCCCCCCTCTATTTTTCTGCCTCTCTCTCTCTCTGACAAACCTATCAGCAGCAGTAATGAGGAGCGGAGCGCATGGGGGCGCGTGAACAGGTGGATCTAAGAGTGCTGCGCCCGGTGCGTGCACGTTTGTGTGTGTGTGTGTGTGTGTGTGGTGGTCCTGATATAACTCATGTTGTGGGGTCTTGTCTTCCTTATGGCCACAGAAACCAAGTCCCCATAATGTAAATCATTAAAGTTTAAGGTGAAGATATGTTTTTTATGTTAGGTTACGTTAATGTTAAGTTTAGGTTAAGTTTAGGTTATTGTGATGTTAGGTTAAGGTTAAGTTTAGGTTATGGATAGGGTGATGTTAGGTTTTAGGTTAAGTTTAGGTTAGGGTGATGTTAGGTTTAGGTTAGGGGGTTATGGTTAGGGTGATGTTAGGTTTAGGTTAGCATAAATGAGAGAACTAATTAAGGTGTTAGTGAGAGTCTCCAGGAAATCAATGTCCTCTGAAGTTAAGTAGACATGGTTGTGTGTGTGTATGCAGTTGCTATATTCACCTGAACTATATAAACAGATTAACAGCTTAATGTGACAAAAACACTTGAGGGATTATTGAAATAAGAAATGCTTAATAAACAGAAATACATTGACTGACGCACGGAATTATAAAAACACTCCCACAGAGAGAGATCAGTCAGACTGAAGGAAGTCAATGTCACCACTTAACTTTGAGCATGAGGCACATTTACACTGTGGAGATGTCGCCACCTTCTGGAGCTTTTGTAAATCGCCTGCAGTTACATTGGCATTAGTGTGCGAAAATCAAAACTTCACAGTGGGTCAATGGTGCTGACACCTTGTAAACATGCTACTTCATATGACAACAAGAGCCTCTGATGTTTATTTATAATAATCTTTTCTGGATGCAGTGTGTTCTTGGACTATGTAACATCCACCTCTAACACTGTACACCACAGTGAACCACAGTAAACATTCGTTATCCTGCATACAGTCTCACAGTCTGTGGCACAATGTTGTTGAGTGGGATGTTGACCTTGAGGGTGGTGAGCTTGGACCCAACCACATTCATAACCATTGCATTGTGTCACGGTTCAGATACCATTAAATACCAGCTATTAATGTCTTCTAACAAAGTGCCGGTATCAAGTAAGACTTCAGTTTTCATTTCGGTTGTGTGTAATATCGCTGCAGTGAACACGAGTGTGCCATCAGGCGCACAGAGCGTTCCGGAAACCACTTTAGAAAATAATTAAACTATGTTCACCCTCAAAGCTCCATTTCCAAATGATGAGTTCAGGATACCACTGATTGCCCCGATCAGTTTGGGAAGGTGTGAAGTCATTTGTCCTATCACTGTAATCTTAAATACTGTGGTGATACTTGTGTAATGCTGCATATCGGGTACGTTGCTCTCAGAGGACAACACGAAGTAAAGAAGTGTTCAGCGACTGTGAAGAATTTCTATGGTTTCCATGATGATAACTGGCTCATTGATTGATTCATTGATCATCAAGGTCATTCAACATTCACATGGCGCTTTGCATTGACCATTTGTGACTGAATGTGGACATGTTGCAGGTCTTTCCTGGTGGATTGTGATTTATTAAGGGAACGTTCCCTCAGGTGTGGTTTTATAAATCTGATTATTCTTTGGTGTATGTTGTTTTTGGCTTTTGTGCACACACAAACTTGTACTATGAATAATACGTACTGTTTTATAAATGAGGCCCATTGTCTTTTTAAGTAGTGTAAGCATCCTCAGCTTCAACGCCTGCCCCCCACAGCCCAACAGAACATGGTGCTCACAACAGCAGACCAATAAAACATTTGGAACAGTTAATTGCACACAGTGAAGGACCTGAGACCCCCGAGCTCAGGTCCTCCTTACAGCCTTGATGTTAGTCTACCTCTGCAGCTTGTTAATAACAATAATAATGACAATAATAATACATCTTATCTGTATAGTGCTTTTCAAGAAACTCAGACACACTTCACATACAATTTAAAAGAAATATACACCAATGATATAAACATAACGTCATTAAACTTTGGATGTAGTTCTGGGTTTTGAATAGGGATTTGAAGGGGGACAGTCCCCGATGTGTCGGCGGAGAGAGATCCAGAGGGAGGGGGCAGCTATGGAGAAGGCTCTGTCACCCCAGGTCCGATGCTTGGTCCTGTGTAGAAGGGAGAGGTGGTTGGCATCAGAAGAGCAGAGGCTGCGTGAGGGGGTGTGGACATGGAGCATGTTTGCGAGGTAGGAAGGAGCCTGGTTGTGGGGGTGGCTTTGTGGGTGAGGATTTTGAATTGGATTGCACTGAGGGACCGGGAGCCAGTGAAGGTTCTGGAGGACAAGGGTGATGCATGTACCATAGATGATCTGGATGTGAAGAAGGATCAGGGTTTCAACGACGGAGAAGGTGAGTGATGGATAGAGCTGAGCTGACTGACATTGTTGGTGAGATGGTTTTCTCACTGTTGTCCATTTATACACTAAGGTAGTCATAGTCCGACTTGACCATCTCTGCGTCCTTTTTGCAGACTGGAGAAGTTGGTGGCATCCACAACCATCATGTTTGTCTCTATTCACATTCAGTTGCAGGTGATTTGTCTCTCTACTCATCCTCCTGTCCACCCTCCAAAACTCCCACCACAATGTTATCAGAACATTTCTGGAAATTACAGAACTGGGAGTTTTTTAATGTTGGTTAATAGAAGTAGAACAGTGGCCCAGTGGTTCAATGGAATAAAATGAAATGATAAGAAGAAGAATGAATGATTTGAATAATATATAAATAATAAAAAGAGGCATTAAAACAGCAGCGGCAGCAGCATACAGAGGCCTTGAGAATAGGAGCATGAAAAGATGCTGTTCTGGCTGCATCACCAGTAAACAGCCTCTAATAGCTGCCTAATCATATGCTGTACAGATTGTGCAGTCCTCTGAGTCAAATGTGTGAATTCAGCTTACACAGGCTAAACAAAGCTGACTTGGCTTGAGCGCGAACAGAACGGCTCGCTGCGGCTGTAGCTGGCAAACCAGCTTAAAACGTCTGTCTCCCTGTGTGTATTTCTGGCAGGTGGATGTCACCCTGTCAGAGCTGAGGATCATTTTGAAGGTTTTAAAGGTTGGTTTGTCGCCTAGCAACAGCTTGTCTGTGACAGCTGATTGGGTTTCAGGTAGATAATAATAATAACTTTATTTATACAGCACTTATATAAACAAGGTTACAAAGTGCTTCACTAAATACATAAAAATAACGCTGCAGCTAAAGATAAATCCGGCTGGCTACTGGCTTGTATGGCAGTGAAGCCACGCTCAGTAGATCAGACATCATTACCACTATGCCTTTTTCAACTAAACACCTACCGTCAGAGGCAGCAGAGTCAAAAACTGTCCTATTTTAGAAACTACATAATATGTAGTTAAGTAAAAGTATATTGAAAAGGATTAAAAGGAATTAAAACAACACAGTAGCACAATACTCACAAATCCCACAAAAAATAAGTTTTGAGCACTGATTTAAAGATCATAATCTTAATATCAATATCAAAAGTTTAACTGGCAAGCAGTGAAGGGATACAAGGATTGAACTTGACAAATAAACAGTGTTTTAGCCAAAGTGACATCTTCATCAGATGTAACAAAACAACAGAAAAACACATCATGCCTCCTACTGCTCGTGTGGTGTCATCCAAGTGTCTGCAAGCCCCGACATTCATATTCAACTCGAACCGAGGTCATTTACATTGTGCTTTAAGGCTAAAGGTCAGGCAGTATGAAGAAGTGTTCACAATTGACTTGCATTGGATTCAGCTGCACTGTTTAACCCTGAGACTCCAGAAGTGTTTTGTGGACTCAGACACTTCACCCACCCCTCCAGTGAATTTTAATTTTTCAGTGAAGTATTCCTTTAAAGATAGTGAGAAAAAAATCCTTGGTCCATCTGTATATTTGGATTTGCTCCAAAATGTCTTCCCTCCTCAAAATGTAATGGAAATCCTACTGACAAACCAACATAGCAATGGCAGTGCAAACACAACCTGAGTAATTAAGAGCTGCAACTTTTGGATAAAATATATTTCGTCCATTATCTCTGTCTCTTATCCTGTAAGAGTCGTGGGGACTGGAGCCAATCCCAGTTGACAGTAGGCGAGAGGGAGGGTTCACTCTGGACAGGCAGATAAAAAAACACTCCAATTCACAATTTAATATAAAGTCTCCAAACAAGCTAACCCTAGTCTGTATGTCTTTGGACAGTGGGGGGATTCAGGAGAAACCAGTGAAAACCCACCAGGAGATGTGAACTCCAGGCTCAACACGGCACCATCATGCCTTACTGAGGGTATTTCATTAATAGATATTAATCCTAAAGACAAATTGTAAAAGGACATTATGCACTTCAGACAGACTTTGGACATCAGACAACACTTAAGCTTCTGGTTAGACTGTGTTGACTTGGGGGTTATTTAGGTTGTTCAGTCTGCAATCACAGGAAAACTTAATTTAACACACTTTACACTGAGTACTCAGACCAGGTCTAATGACTTCAATTCAAGATGTGATTTATTACTGAGATAAATCTACTGGGACAAACAGTGAAAATGATTCTAACGAGCAAAAGGCAATTTTACAGCTCATTGCATCATTTATGCATTCTCATTTTCTCCACAGCACGACAAGTGCTCAGTAACATTCAAAAAGACACTAAATCGACACTTTAGTCCTCTCAGAGAGTCTCCATGTGAGAGCTGTGTGGTCAGACACTGGAGGCCGTCACGCAGGCCTCCTGCGATGTTACAGAGAAGTGCTACCACACACACACACACAAACACACGCACACATTGACTTACATTACATTCCAATAGACGCACTCTAACTGTAACTCTAAATACTACATGTCTAGCTTATATGTTACACTTGG